GAGAAGGGTCATTTCTTGTTTTCTGTTTCTAAGCACCTAGCCAGGCCCTGATGCAAAGTCAGTGCTCAAAACTGCTGAATAAAGAAATGAACAAAGGAACTGCTTTCCCCAACCCCCTTCAGCAGAATATAAAGAAAAGAACCACAGTGGGATCAAAAGATCTGGATTTCTATCCAATTTATTTGAATCCCTAAAATTCATAATAATGGATAAGAAAACTTGCCTTGGAGAAGAGGGTACAGTTCAGTGGTAGAGCACGTGCTTAGCATGTACGAGGTCCTGGGTTCAATCCCCAATACCTCATTTTAAAAAATGAAACAAATAAATAAACCTAACTACCCTCCTCAAAAAATATTTTTCTTTAAAAATTCAAAAAACACCTTGAAAGTAACACAATTGTAAACTTCGCTATACTTCAATTAAAAAAAAACCTTGCCTTACAGGAATATATCTGGATTACGGAAGTTTGTATAGTAAAATACCTAGGGTACCACCTGCATAAAAAGGGGGGACTGTACAAATTTACTATCCCTCCTTTATGAGCTATATTTCCTTTGGGGGATGTTTATAACCTCTCAGAACTAATTTTCTCAGATTAAAAAAAAGAAAACTTTACCTGATTCTCAGTAATGCTGAAGAATCAGATAACCCTATGAAAGCATCTGACCCATAGAGGTTACTCAATAAATGTTTGTTGAATAAATGAATAAGCAAGCAAAGTGAATGCTGCTCCCTGCCATTGACCATCATAATGGTACTGCCTGGAAATCCCAAGCCCACATTCCACCCGACTCTACACTAACCATGTGGGTGAGCTGGGCAGGCCTGTGTGCTTCTCTAAGCCCCAGTTTAATCATGAAAATAAATGAGGGCAATAAGACAAACCTCAAAGGGTTAGTGAGTAAGTAATTAATTGTACCCCAACGTTGTAAGATGGAAACATTAAGGAAAATTGGGCAAAGGGTCCATAGGAGCTCTCCATATTATCTCTTAGAACTACATGGGAATCTACATTACATCTCAAAATAAAAAGTCTAATTTTTTAAAGAGGCTATTGAGATTAAATGAGCTCACTGTCTCAAATAAGGAACACACAGTACAAATAGGACAATGCCCAGCCCATGAGATACACTCAGTTAACATTCCCAGTGAACCCACTGGTCCCTCCAACTTCAGAGCATGATGATGGGTCCTCATGGCCAGAGACCACTGCACCTGAAGCTAACAAAGCTAATGGTCCCCACATCCAAGAGCCCCTGCAACCACCCTAGGTCTAGTTTTGTGTTTGTAATTTTTTTTTTATTAAATAGGAATCCCCAATTGCATAGACTTCAGGTCACCAAAACCTGACCACTGAGATCATGATGGCAGACCTTCTTGGTGAAACAATAAAATGAAAAGGCATTTCCACAAGAACTCTGTGTAAATCTACTAGGGAACTTCATCCTGGACTGAGGGGAAGAGGACTGTGGAGGAGGGGGCAATCTGGGGCACACAGACCCATGGGCCACCTGTCCCACGATGGAGTTTAGACTCAAACCTCACCCTCCATGAACTTCAAAATGCACACAGAGTGCTGTGGACAATTTTTTTTTTTTAAAGAAATCCCTGACTCCCTAGCAGGTCTTGTTTCTACCGAGACACAGATGGCTTATGTGTATAATGTTCCACAAAAGCCCTAAAATATTATCACCCCAACTTGACACATTAAGAAACGGAGGGAAAGAGGTTTATCACATTCTACAAGACTAGATAGAGGCCACGTCAGAAACCG